ATGATTATAGTGTTCTTATTGTGTTATGCTAAATCATTTGATACCTCATATGACTATAGTTGAGTTTATTTTGTTACACTGAATCATGTGATATCCCTATTGACTATAATTGTTTATTTTGTCATGCTGAATCATATGATACTCCACATGACTATAGTTGTGTTTATTTTATCACACTAAATCATTTGATACCCTAGATGACTATAGTTGCGTTTATTTTGTTCCATCAACGTTTGTTTCTGGCAATGCTCATTACATTTTATCTGGTTTATTTTAAAAATATGGTTTTTTCATTAATTATTTGTAGTTAATTATTCTCTCTGATTCAATTTGAATCAATTAGGATTGCAATAAATGACTTTATTAATGTATAATTGTTACTGTATTTTTGTATCTTAACATTAGATGTATGTATGTATGTATGTTTTTGGTTAAATATGCAATTATACTACAAATTTTAGTTGAATACTTTACTTAATTTGTTTGCATCCTAATAATATGGTAAATATTGGTGACACTAAAAATAGTTGCATATAAGCTGATAGATACCATGTATGTTCCAAACACTAATTTTAATTTTAGAATTGATTTTATTATTATTTTTTACAAATATATATATATATATACATTATAAAACTAAACAAAAACTACATAAATAAATTTTCAAGCTTATAACTAGAACAACTAACTGTTTTATTTTTAAATTATATGAAAATCACACATTATTTTTACTATTGATAACTTGTTTGTCCATTTTATAGACACTCAACTTGATTTTATTGGTTTATTAATTAATTGAATTCAAATCTTATTTTGATTAATTAAAATCATTTAAGAGACAGATTTAGTCCATATTTGTGTCAATTTGTTGGACAAACAAAAGTTATTAAAGATAAAACTAATTTAATAAATCTTATTTAATTTAATATTTAATTATAAAACTATTGATAATTAAATTAATTAATTTGAATGAATTTTTGTTTAAAAAAATTATAAATATATCTATCAATAAATTAAATATTATTATTACATACCGGTGTATATATAAAATTATTAATATACAATAGTTGTGTCCAGAAATTTTGATGACATGTTAGCACTGATTCTTCTACATACCGGTGCCAAATGGGACCACTAGTTAGCGGTTCGACAACAATTGAAAAACCAATCACTGCCAACACCGATGGCGTTAATCTCAAGTATCGATGAAATATTTTTTTAAAAATATTATATTTTCTAATCGACTCTAATTTATTGACTTCTCTGATAGTATTATAAGCGCACAAAAATCCGGACATAACTAGAAACTCGTCGACACTATTGCTTGAATTAATTATTAGTTGCATCAAAATATTTTCATTTAATAGATTGATATTTAGAAAATTTACTATATTTAAGAAAAAAAACAAAATAATTATATTTAAAAAAAACAAAATAATTATATTTAAAAAAAACAAAATAATTATTATTTTACAATTAATTTTTTATTTATTATTACCAATTGGTTGAATAGTAGTAAGCAGTAAATTACTATGAAACAATATAATTGTACAGGTTGATAAAAATCGAAAACCATGAAAACAATTAATACTGTTTTGTTGTTGTTGTTGTTGTTGTTGTTGTTGTTGTTGTTGTTGTTGTTGTTGTTGATGTTGTTGTTTTTGGCTACCAGTGCTCAACAATTGACGGCTATTTGTAGAAATTGAAAAAGCCAACAAACATCGAAACCATTTTGATTTGACTGGTATTAGATAATAATAATTGTTAGTTTTATTTTATTTTATTTTTTTAAATCAATATATTATTTAATATATATACATATTAATACTACTATATCCTGTTTATATTACCTAATTTATTGAATTTTAAAAAAAATAAAATAAATTAAACTAACAGTTATTTTTATCTAAGACCAGTAATTATAATTAATAAATAAACTCTGAAAAAATACATTAAAATTATTTTTGTTTATAATTAATATATTCTATTATATTATTTAAAAAAAATTATAAATGTATATAATATAGTATTATTAATATAAATCACAAATATATAAAATCATTATATATTCATCTATTAAAAATTTTATTCTAGATTATTATTATTTTATTAATATTATAAAATTAAATTCAAAATACCACTTACTTTCTTGTTTATTGTAAACGTCAATAATAGTTGATATTATTGTTAATAAAGCAATTACAGAAAAGACACATCTTTAATAAATAAATAAATAAAATAAAATAAAATTATATTTTTAATAAATTAATTTAACCCAACATCAAAAAATTAATGCTAACATAATAAATATGTGAAACCATTGAAACGGATAATATTTATTTTCACCACAATTTTCAATAGATAAGTCAATACCAGTTGTTTTTAAAACTATTTTTAACAATAAAATTATAATATAATTATTAAAGTAGAAAATTAAATAAATTTAGAATAAATAATAAAAAAAATTAAAAAAATTACATGATTTTAATATGTTATCTAAATCTTGTTTATTGCAAACATTAGGTATACAAATACCAAGTGATGGTGACATCAGCACATCCATTGACTTTTTAAAATAATTATAACCAATAATAATAATAAATTCATAACTCGTTTTTCAATCAATTTAATAATAATTAATAATTTATTGTTCTTTATTATAAATAATCTTATTATTATTTGTTTAAAACTAAATTTATAATTATAGCTATTTGTAAAAAATAATTTACCTTAATATCTTGTGGTTTCAAAAAATAGTTTATCGGCATATTTAGTGTACAATATTGACCATTAAATTTTGATAATTGATTATCTAATAAAATCTCGGCCTTTAAATCCAAACATTCACTGTATTGACCCATAAATTGATAGTTTCCACTCATAATACCGGTGCCGATGACTGCACTCGAATCGATCACTAGTTTTTATTAAAAAATAAATAAATAAATTTTTATTAGTGATTTAATAACATTTTTTAAACATACATTTAATTAGTTCAGTAGAGTTGCTATTTTTAACCAAATAGTTGAGTACTTGTTTGCATTTTTGACTTAAACTACTATCAGTTTTATTGGATTGAAAATATAATTGTTGTATAAAATCGTGATTTTTTAAAATCAATAAATCAATATTGATGTTACATTGAATCAATTGATTATTATATAAAATTAATAATAGTAATAATACTAATTTTATAAAATTAATAATTTTAACAATCATTTTATAAAAATAATATATTTCTTAAATTTTAAAGCAAATATTAAATAAAATCTATTTAATATTAATATAAAAAGTTAATATTTTTTAAAATTTATATTTACTAATATATTAATATTATAAATACTCTGTTTGCATCCTTATAAGTAAAAAAAGTTAATAAAATTGTTACTGAAATTAACACTAAATTTCTTATAACGCTGACGCTAAATGATATGTGTTTTATTAGTATATACTGTTATAAACTGGTGGAGGTGCCTATCGTTCCCAACGATTTGGATTTCACTAAAAACAAAAGTCATTGTAATTGTAATCAATAAATAAAGACAACAAAAGAGTAAAATCAGTATTAACTTAGAGATTGAATTGATACACATCTATCGTAAAAAGAGATCAATTAACGTTTAATAATGTCAACCAAATTTAATAACAGCTGACAGACTAAATGGATAAAAAACTTTTAAAAACAGGACTTTAAAAATTGAAAGATAAATTTGACAAGCAAGAGTCGGCAAGCATTGCGTTTGGTGATTTTAGAACTTGAACTTTGGATTTCAAACAGCCGACCGCAACGGTCCAGACAATTGAAACAACAGACAAAGTTCAAAAAGGACCGCCAAAATTGGACAAAAAGTCTCGCTTTAACAAAACCAAAGCACATTCTTCTCAGTGTCCGGTATGCAAACTTTTTGGCAGAAAAGAGATGCACTGGAAGCAAGACTGTCCCGACTGGGCTATCGTCTCAAATCTCAAGACCACCCAAGCATCGACTTCAAGCTCTTCCCGTTCCGGCTAAAGAGAGTGCTTTGAAGTGGTTAAGGCCATCGATCACTTTCATGTATACCTCGACGGCACCAAATTTCAAGTGATCACACACTGTTCCTGTCTGAAATGGTTGTTCACACTCGACTGTTCCGATGGTCGATCCGGTTGAGCACTTTTGATTTCACAGTCAAACCTAGACCGGGATTAACGAATCACGTCGCAGATGTACTCAGTCGCAGCCCAATGAGTTTCTGAACAAACGGTGTGTGCGAATGCGTGAACGGATCCATTGTCACTGCACTCCGCACTAAATTGATCAACAGTCCGAAAACCAGATGGTCATCGCTGTTGATAAACGTTGTCCAAAACTTTAACGACACCATCAGTGACAGCACCGGATTCCTTCCAAGATTGTTTCAGTTCGGCCACTATACAAAGATTCAATTTAATATAATTTTTTTAAATCTATAATTTAATGAATACCTTAAGTTTTTTAGGTGACAGTTGTGCTTGAACAGAAACTTTGTGTAAAGCATATATGGATCAACTGGTGATCACAACATTAGCTCTCAGTGCTGAATATAACTTGACTATTAAAGCACCGATACCAGCACACGATCCCGTAACCAATACTACTTTTCCGGTAAAATTTCGTGAGTTTCGCACTTCATCGTATAAAATCATTTAATGACATTTTTTGATTTATTAGTGTTTTAAAAATTGATATCACTAGTTGTTTAGGGCAATTTTTTAATAAAATAAAGTTGTAATTGTGACCGTGGATGAGATAATGAATGAGTGGACACAACCAATGATGAGTAACAAAAAATTTATTGTTTATAAAATTATAAAATTAAAATAATTGATTAAATGATTAAAATTGATTGTCGTTTTTGTGTTGAGTTTTGATGGCAGATATCAATCAATAGATTGATTTAATGCTTGAAAAGAAGGGAAGTGATTGAAGAAAGTCTAGTCCGGAGACTGAATGTGAGAGCGATGTGGAAGAGAAAGAAAACATGGCTGACCTCCACTTAAATTGTGGAGGACCTAAAGAGTCAGCCAATGAGAGTGACTGAGAGATAGTGTTTGCTTGTGCTGTCAAAGGTGACCATCTCGTGGTTACATAATTATAAATTTTATGAATATATATATATATATATGTATATTAGTAATTATTATTATGCGTTTTCTAACAAGTATGTTTATGAGTATTTATAAGTCACCATGATTATTAAATTAAATTAATTTATTTATGTCATTAGTTTTTTTATTCTGGAAATATTTCAAACATTTTCAACTGGTTTAAACCAGTATTTTAAAACATATATTCAATAAATAATTTACACTTGTTTATTTAACTACAATATTGAATATGTGTAAATAATAATTTGCAATACAATGAATTGCATTTATATTAACATTAAATTTTTTATTTAACCATATTATATATATAATGTAGGGGAAGTGGGTATATTACGGGTATCTAATCTTGTCTAACCTTACTTATGTAAACCAAACACTCGGCAATACACCACTTACCTTACGGGTTTGACTCTTTTAGTGATAACCTAAGTCACCTAAGGGTCACAGACCCGTCAAGGGTCACAGACCCGTCAAGGGTCACAGACCCGTCAAGGGTCACAGACCCGTCAAGGGTCACAGACCCGTCAAGGGTCACAGACCCGTCAAGGGTCACAGACCCGTCAAGGGTCACAGACCCGTCAAGGGTCACAGACCCGTCAAGGGTCACAGACCCGTCAAGGGTCACAAACCCGTCAAGGGTCACAGACCCGTCAAGGGTCACAGACCCGTCAAGGGTCACAGACCCGGAGTTCTCATAATAAAAATATTTACTTACGTAATAGTTGTTTAACGTCCGCGTGGTTATGGATGTATTCTGAAGGCGTCCCTTTAGATGTCCAACGATTGGTCCGCGTAGATAGAATAAACACACAAAGTAATATGCAAATACTTTTATTAATTTACTTTAAAAGTAATACACGAGGTATGACTCCAAAGAGAGAACTGATTTTGGTGTTTGAGAGACACCTCTATTTATACTAAAGTGTACGTGAGGAGAAAGTGTGTCACATTGAGTCAGGATTTAATCACTATTAAAACTGGGAGTTTACTATTTAATTTTTTCTATAACATATTAGTGCATTATTTTAACACTGTATTCAACACAAAATATTGAATAAAATTTCCTTAAAAACAAGGTGTTTACCTTTAGGTTTTCTGTATAACATTTTAGTGCTGTTATAAATTTTTAACAAATAAAAAATAAGAATAATTTTTGAAATAATTTTTCAGAGTAAAACAAATAAAATACCCTTACAATATATTTTAACTATGTATTTTATCCTTGACTTCAATATAAAATTATTTAATGTTGAAATATTAGTGTATATAAGCATTTGTTTAATATAGGGAAAGTTTTCAATAATTTAGCTTATGTAATAATTATGTTTTTAATTATTTAAATAAAAACAAAACTTATTTAATAGTTAAATATTTTGCTGATTTGACCCACTATTGCATTTCCGCCCCTTCAAGTCTTCATCTGTCCTCAGATGTGTAAAATTAGTAACACTAATAACTCATGTACACATTAGTTTACAAATTTTGTATTTATAAAATATTACTATAAAATCCCTTCACCTTAAAAAAATGCATGCATTATATAAACTTAAATCTATAAAATACCAATAAACCATGCATTATAATAAATTTTAATCGTTGTCCGTTTTCTGATCATCATTGTGCTTTGTTTCTTTTTCCGTGTTATCATCTATTTCATCGTCCAGTTGATTTTCATTGTCATTTTGTGTAGTAATATGTTTAGCATTGTTACTATCTACTTCATCAATGCCGTCCAATTCAGGAATTGTTTCATTGTTCCATTTTCTTAATCGTCTTATATGTACATTCTTAAACTTTTTCCTTGGATTATGTACACTTTGGACAGTGTATACAAGTGGAATGTGCCGCGTAATTATCTTATAAGGGCCAATATATTGGCTTAGTAATTTCGTACTAAGACCATCTCTCTGTGAGGAATATGTAGTTACACTAAGTCACCCTCCTCAAATACTACATCGCGATGTTTAGCATCATAACGGAATTAACCATCATTATGACCCTCTATAATTCTCATTTGAACCAATCTTCTTGTTTCCTCCATATATTTTAAATAATTAATACCAAATGCAAAGTCACGCGGTAGATCATAAGATACGTCAATTGGTACTTTTGGTTCTCTTCCATATAGTAAGAAAAAGGGAGAAACTTTGGTAGCTTTATGATTACTAACGTTATACGAGAATGTTACTTTGGGTAAGTACTGATCCCAATTGGTAACATTATCTTGAACATAAAGTTTAAGCATCATAGCTACAGTCCCACATGCTTTTTCTGCAGTTCCATTCGATTGTGGACTATATGGTGTGGTTTTCACATGTTTGGAGGCTGTCAACTTAAAGACTTCTTCCATAAAGTCTGATATAAAGTATCTGGCATTATCTGTTAACACTTTTTTAATGGCGCCGTGTCTTGCCAGAACTTCACCAACAAACCATTTCGCTATAGTAATGGCTTGTACATTTTTCACTGCCTTTGTTTCCATCCATTTTGTAAATAAGTCAATCATTATTATAATGTATTTACTGCCTTTTGACGTCGGAGAGAGAGGCCCAAGTATGTCTACTCCGACAATTTCAAATGGTTCATTGGCGTCGATAGGCTGCAGCATTCCTTTCTCGACTTTATTGTCGACCTTATTCAACTGACATGACTCACAGTTGTTAACGTATTTTCTGATTGACTTTTCACAGTGAGGCCAGAAAAATCTCTCTTTGATTTTTCCATATGTCTTTTCAAATCCTAAGTGAGCTCCGGACAACTCATTGTCATGTAAATCTTGTAGGATTTGTCGTCTTAATTCTTTAGGAAGGCATAACTGTAGCCTCCTATTTCTATTATCATCATAACTTATCCTATATAGAATTTCATTTTCAATAATGAATTTGCTTAAGCTTTTACTTTGTTGATTATTTTTTATTTTCTCTTTTAATTCTTTACACCATTTATCACTATCTTGTTTCTCTATTATGTTTATTGTAGGATTTATTAGTACGGGTATTACTGGTTCCCAATCGTCTGGTTTCTCGTATGGATATCTTGACAATGCATCAGCATTGTTATGTAATTTTCCTTTCTTATATTTCACTTCAAAGTCATATTCTTCGAGTATTGTTCTCCAATGCATTAATCTTCTGTTTGGGTTTTTCAAATTTCTAATATATTGTAGCAATTTCCGTGCGGTAATTCACTAATATAGGTTCAGAGATAGTTCTCTGTTAAAGCCGCGCTTACTATCACCTTCTCCAGCGGTAAAGTTGACACAGAAGCTACACGGATCATCATCACCATGATGATGACACCCTCAACAACAGTGATCGCAACGCATTTGCATTTATATTCATAATTTATAATTCAAAAGTACCTTATATGTGCTAAAATAATCACCTATAAAGTAAACCTCACTTAGCTTTGATTATGTCGATCCGTTACGATCCTGCCGTTTGTTCCGCTGTCTCGTTGTTTGACATCCCTTACACTATATACTCACGCGTTTACACTACTTACGCATTTTTCTACATACCAATTTCTTACTCTATTATACTTAACCTATGTCCGACTCTTCAGTCAGAACTACTACTTAGATCTATGTTTTAATAGATCTAAACCCATTATTCGACTATTACAGTCTGCAAATATGTCTCGATCGGTGTTTCCACCGAGAGACAAACCTTAAGGTAACATTTCTGTTACCTACTAAATCTATGTCTCGATCGGTGTTTCCACCGAGAGACAAACCTTAAGGTAACATTACTGTTACCTACTAAATCTATGTCTCGATCGGTGTTTCCACCGAGAGACAAACCTTAAGGTAACATTACTGTTTCCTACTAAATCTATGTCTCGATCGGTGTTTCCACCGAGAGACAAACGTTTAGATAACATTTATGTTATCTAATATACCCCAGACTGACTATTTCAGTCTGAAACTATATCTCAATCGGTGTTTCCACCGAGAGACAAACCTTAAGGTAACATTACTGTTACCTACTAAATCTATGTCTTGATCGGTGTTTCAACCGAGAGACAAACCTTAAGGTAACATTTCTGTTACCTAATATATCTATGTCTCGATCGATGTTTCCACCGAGAGACAAACCTTTAGATAACATTTATGTTATCTAATATACCCCAGACTGACTATTTCAGTCTGAAACTATGTCTCAATCGGTGTTTCCACCGAGAGACAAACCTTTAGATAACATGTATGTTATCTAATATACCCCAGACTGACTATTTCAGTCTGAAACTATGTCTCAATCGGTGATTCCACCGAGAGACAAACCTTTAGACATGTATGTTATCTAATATACCTAAGACTGACTATTTCAGTCTGAAACTATGTCTCGATCGGTGTTTCCACCGAGAGACAAACCTTTAGATAACATTTATGTTATCTAATATACCCCAGACTGACTATTTCAGTCTGAAACTATATCTCAATCGGTGTTTCCACCGAGAGACAAACCTTAAGGTAACATTACTGTTACCTACTAAATCTATGTCTCGATCGGTGTTTCAACCGAGAGACAAACCTTAAGGTAACATTTCTGTTACCTAATATATCTATGTCTCGATCGATGTTTCCACCGAGAGACAAACCTTTAGATAACATTTATGTTATCTAATATACCCCAGACTGACTATTTCAGTCTGAAACTATGTCTCAATCGGTGTTTCCACCGAGAGACAAACCTTTAGATAACATGTATGTTATCTAATATACCCCAGACTGACTATTTCAGTCTGAAACTATGTCTCAATCGGTGATTCCACCGAGAGACAAACCTTTAGACAACATGTATGTTATCTAATATACCTAAGACTGACTATTTCAGTCTGAAACTATGTCTCAATCGGTGATTCCACCGAGAGACAAACCTTTAGACATGTATGTTATCTAATATACCTAAGACTGACTATTTCAGTCTGAAACTATGTCTCGATCGGTGTTTCCACCGAGAGACAAACCTTTAGATAACATTTATGTTATCTAATATACCCCAGACTGACTATTTCAGTCTGAAACTATATCTCAATCGGTGTTTCCACCGAGAGACAAACCTTAAGGTAACATTACTGTTACCTACTAAATCTATGTCTCGATCGGTGTTTCAACCGAGAGACAAACCTTAAGGTAACATTTCTGTTACCTAATATATCTATGTCTCGATCGATGTTTCCACCGAGAGACAAACCTTTAGATAACATTTATGTTATCTAATATACCCAGACTGACTATTTCAGTCTGAAACTATGTCTCAATCGGTGTTTCCACCGAGAGACAAACCTTTAGATAACATGTATGTTATCTAATATACCCCAGACTGACTATTTCAGTCTGAAACTATGTCTCAATCGGTGATTCCACCGAGAGACAAACCTTTAGACAACATGTATGTTATCTAATATACCTAAGACTGACTATTTCAGTCTGAAACTATGTCTCGATCGGTGTTTCCACCGAGAGACAAACCTTTAGATAACATTTATGTTATCTAATATACCCCAGACTGACTATTTCAGTCTGAAACTATGTCTCAATCGGTGTTTCCACCGAGAGACAAACCTTTAGATAACATGTATGTTATCTAATATACCCCAGACTGACTATTTCAGTCTGAAACTATGTCTCAATCGGTGATTCCACCGAGAGACAAACCTTTAGACAACATGTATGTTATCTAATATACCTAAGACTGACTATTTCAGTCTGAAACTATGTCTCGATCG